TAACTGTTTAGTCACATAGCGATTCCATCCAGAAGCCACTTGTTCTGGTAGCTTGGCTAGCATCCTGTGGTTTTCTAGATAGTCGTTCAAATACTTCTAGTCCTTGAACATGTGGGATAGCATTGCTGCATGCTTGCAGGAAGTCGCCATACTCTTGGAGCTTGAAGTGTTCTTTAGGACCTATTTTAGGCCAGTTTATCAACTTCTCTCTGAAAGCTCTTTGTACTAAGAAGGGATGACCATATCTTGCATTTAATTTTTCCCAAGCTTGCTTGTAGGCTTCTTCATCTTTCCTATAGAAGTTACCTTCAAGAACCTTTTTTGCTTCTCCGCCAGTATACCGCTGGAGGTAGAATAACTTGTCCACTGGACGGGAGCAATTATGTTCAATGATCATTTCAAAACTTGCCTTCCATTCTATAAACTTCAGTACGTCTCCAGAGAATATAGTAGGTTCCGGAACAGGAAGTCTAGTGAGAAATATTCTCTGAGGTTTCGCCGGGTCAACAGTTGTAACATCCTCGTGACCACTGCCATGACATATGGGAGTTGAATTATCTGGTTCTCTTTTTCCACTTTGTTCTGAATCAGGTGAGTCTCTCTCTTCTTTTCTCTCTGAGCAGGGATGGAAGGACTATGACTTATTTCTTCACTACATGCTGGAGATTTCCTTCCATTTTCCTGGGCGTAAGGAAGAACGTAGGAGTCAGCTTCTCCACTTAGTACTGATTTGGATCTATGACTACCCTGATTCGTATCCTCTTCGTGCACTCTGAGTCTGGCTTCTATAATCTTAACTTCCTTCTGCCTTTCCAGACTTTTCCAGCTTTTTTATGGCGCTGAGCTTCCATTTCGGCTTCCATTTTATGGCTTGAGCTTCCATTTTATGGCGCTGAGCTTCCATTTTATGGCTTCCATTTTATGGCGCTGAGCTTCCATTTTATGGCGCTTCCATTTCGCTTCCATTTTATGGAGCTTCCATTTCGGCTTCCATCTGTAGACGCTGAGCCTCAATGGCAGATTCCATCTCAACTTCTGCTCTTTTGGCAGCGAGTTGTTCAGCTAATTCCTTTCTTTTGGCTGACGTACTTGAGAACTCTGTTATGTGGCTGGCACTTCTGCTAGTGATGGAAGTCACACTTGAGATTGTGGTTCCTCCTAAGGACCTAGCATAGTCTTTCATGAAGAGCTCATTCATTCCCTTTCGTGCCTTGACTTCATCATAATTTGCTGCAGATGATAGTTCTCTCATAAGCTTCACTAAATCCCTAGTGACTGCGGTACATGTATCCATGTTTCCTTACAATATCCTGGGAGGGTGTCAAGGACGACCGCAAGTTGACATATGCTGTCATAAGCTCTGACTCAGAATCTTCTACTGTCTCTATTATTTCACTCAAATTCTCCTTTATGCTTTCTTGTTTTAGCTTTCTGCGAATGTCTATGATGTATACTTTCCACCTCTCATACATTCGGGCAACTTTTTTTCTTTTCAGTGCTGCCTCTTGCTCCAAATTTTCTAGCACCTTTTGGGTCGGTTTTCTGTCCCGTGATGAACGTCTTAGTTCACCTGTTTCAGCTATATTTGTTTGGGGCGAGACTACCGTTACATTGCACCTTTCAGATTCAGACAGGTTCTCTTGCTCTTCACCTTCTACCATATCTATCATTGCATCCGCTAACAGTGGGGTGGCAATGCTAGGCTCAGCCATTTCTGAATGCTATAACAATTAATATGAATAATAAGGACCTGTCACTTTAAATGCAATACTAACAAATGCAAGAATAAATGACTTTCACTTTACATGTAATAGCACCAAAACACAGGCAATAAATGACTTTCACTTTAAATACTTCAGAATCATATACTATAACTGTCTCTCTTTTATTAAAAGTCTGTATTCTCTTGAGCACAAAAATGTCTCTTGCAGAAACCTATGTGCATAAGTGAGTAATAAAGGAAAGCTCTGACCTTAATTGAAGAACAGGATACCGTGATCTGAAGGTTGCAGAAACAAATGTCAGTCTTAAAGGAGACTTTTCTTGATGCGGTGACTTTGCGATGCTCTGCGATGCTCTGCGGTGACTTGCGATGCTCTGCGGTGACTTTGCGATGCTCTGCGGTGACTTTGCGATGCTCTGCGGTGACTTGCTGCGGTGACTTGCGATGCTCTGCTTGCGATGCTCTGCGGTGACTTGCGATCTCTGTGAACTCTCTGGATGCAACACGTGGTCTCTTGATGGATAGCGGTGCGGGCACTCTAGCTCTGGACTCTGGCCCTCCCCCCATGCATCTCTTTCTCTCTCTAGGGGTGCAGGAGGTTTGGCGCTCTTTCTCTGACTGTCTTGCCTTTGCCGTTATGCCACTTTAAGAGTCGTCTGCAGTCTGACTAATGCGCACGTGCTATGGCCTGTACTGTTGTTCCGCTGAGGTGTCTCCGCGTGGCGGTATATGCTGGCGCTCTGTTTCTCTAGTGTACTCTTTACTGTGCAAGTTGAGGAGCGCTGTTGCTTGACCTCTGAGGGTAATAGTTCCACTGTGGCAGGCGCAGCACCCTTTGGTGCCTAGTGCGCTGTGGCATTAGAAAAATTATGCAATTGCTGTTTCTTTGTTTGATTAGACTGACTTTACTCTGTAATTCCTCCAATGCCGCTCTATGGATGCAGTAGGTTTAAAGAGCACACCGAATACTTTAGTTAACTTCTTTAATAACTTCAATCTTCTTCATATAACACTGCTTACAATGGCTTGTTTCTTTCATATTACAATGGTTTAATTCGTATTACATTGGGTTGATTCGATAGATTCGATAATTCAATTTCGTTAGATTCGTATATTTCGATTTTATTCGATTCGATTAGTTTATTCGTAAATTCGTAAATTTCGTTCGTTTCGTAAATTCGTTTCGTTCGGTGGAACTACAAGTAAACACACACAACAGTTTTTAACATACAGATCTACCTGCATTACTTAAACAATAGAGGAACACACAAGTGCATTAAATACCTATTTGGCCTTCTCTGCTTCCATAAAGCTTTTCTGATTGGAACTGTCTGTTTCCTCTTCTGTCTGGTGAGCATGTGTCTCTAGAAAATCCTAGCAGGGAGTTTTACACAGGCATAAATGTGAAACTGGCTGGGATTGGTTAAGGCTCTGTACAGTGTGAGGCTGTCTGTGATTGGCTCACTCTTACTAACTCTTAAAGGCATATTTTCCTTTTCTGCTTCTGCTAACACAATGAATATATAAATGTCATATAACAATCAAAGACATAAATTACAGCAATGATTCTTGCTTTTGGCTTTAACATATGCACATATACACTGTACTGAGGTTATTGGCAGGTTTGGTATACACTGAGACTGAGTTACCAGAACAAACATATTATAGTGATTCTAAGGGCATTTTTTATAACTGAAAAAAAAAACTAGGCCCATGTCTGTCTGGCATTCCAAGTCTCCAGCAACAAGATTGCTAAATAGAGCATTCAGCTGCTCTTATGGTGTCACTAGAGCATTTTCTGAAACACTGCAGAATCTCACTCACAGTGGAGCAGCAGTGGGGCAACACATAGTCAATCTGGGGAGCGAGCATTGCTGTAGAAGCAGGTGAGTGGTCTGATTATTCTCTCAGTCATCCTGTCACTAGTGCTTCCATGTGACATGGGCCATAAAACTGAGGCTTAGTTAAAATAAATGTAAAACTTCACATTTTATTTTTTTTAAACACTTTGCATTGGACGTACGCATATATGTGGCCTCTTGGCGGGTAGGCTTTAACGCAGAGCAGCTGCATATATGCGTCCCTAAGTAAACACTTTACATTGTTGAGAACGCTTCCCCTGCACGTTCCCAGCACAGTAACCAGTGAGTACTGGAAAGCTTCTGAAACATACTTGCAATCAGGAGCTTTCCAATCATGTGAGTCAAAGGCTCCCGCTGCTGTGTCTGATTCCCCACTCTGCAGCTGCACATTTAAATACTCATTGTTTAAATGCAGCTGCAGGGTGGGGAATGCCCCGACTGCAGTACAGTGACAGCTTCTCGGCAGGCTCGCTTGAGTATGTATGGACTAAGATCCAAAGATGCCTGAATTCAGCACTACTCAGCAGTATCTAGTGGATTTCACGCCAATGCACTCCCAGCATTTAGCTTTTTTACACCAATATTCATCAGGGTCTAGTCGATCTACTAAAGAAAGAGAGTGCAAATCATTATGTTAGTGCAGTAATAGTTCATACCAAAAACACCTCAAACGATAAATTGTAAAGTCCAATGTGAAAATAGTAAAGTCCAAGGTAGTAGTGCAAACCACTCATAAAATTATGTAGTGCTGCACAAAAGGAGAACTGCTTCCACCTCTCCACCATCTGTTTAACCACTTACCTACCAGGCACTTATACCCCCTTCCTTACCAGGCCAATTGTCAGCTTTCAGCGCTGCCGCACTTTGATTGACAATTGCGCGGTCATGCAACATTGTACCCATATGAAATTTTGATCATTTTTTTCTCACAAATAGAGCTTTCTTTTGGTGGTATTTAATCACCACTGGGCGCTTTACTTTTTGCGCTATAAATAAAAAAAGTGCAAAAAATTTGAAAAAAAAAATTTTTTCTTTGTTTCTATTATAAAATTTTTCAAACAGGTATTTTTTCTCCTTCACTGATGTGCGTTGATGAGGCAGCACTGATAGGCGGCACTGATGGGCACTGATAGGCAGCACTAAAGGGCACTGATAGGCAGTACTAATGAGGTGGCACGAATAGGCGGCACTGATAGACAGCACTAATGAGGTGTCACGGATAGGCGGCACTAATATGCAGCACTGATAGGCGGCACTGATAGGTGACACTGATGATGGGTACTGATAGACGGCACTGACTGGCATCACTGCTGGGCACTGACTGGCGGCACTGACTGGCACAACCCCTGGGCACTGACTGGTGGCACTGACTGGCAGCACTGCTGGGCTGCACTGGTGGGTGGCACTGGGGCACACTGGTGGGCAGCACTGGTGGGGTGGGCACAGGTGGGTGGCACTGGTGGGCACAGGTGGGTGGCACTTCTGGGCACAGGTAGGTGGCACTTCTGGGCACAGGTGTGTGACACTGCAGAGTGGCACAGGTGGGTGCACTGCTGGGCACAGGTGGGTGATCTGCTGGGCACAGGTGGGCGGAGCTAGTGAGCACACTGCTGGGCACAGGTGGGCGGAACTTGCGGGTGGCACTGCTGGGCACCGATCATCAGGGCACTGATCATCAGTGTCCTGATGATCGGTGCCGATCCCCGCTGTGACAACTGCCGGTTCTCGGCAGTACTTTCCTCACGATCTGACAGCGTGAGGAAAGTGCAGCCGAGAACCGGCACTTGCATTTCCCTGTGATCAGCGTGTCATTGGACACCGCTGATCACGTGGTAAAAGGCCGCTGGGATCGGCCTTTTACCACATCACGTGATCAGCTGTGTCCGTAGGACGCTATCTGCGGTCGGCAACTAGTTAAAGAACTTCATAAGAGCTTATTAGAATACCATGACCCTCTATATATGAGTGGTCATGAATAGTATATGTGCATCTCCCAACTGCTCAAGATATCATACTCAGATGTACTTTTTATTGTAAAAAATTGCACTTATATATTTACAGCACATTAAGAGAAAAACTCCGGCATCTGGAAAAGCAAAGAAGCAATCGGTGTGCGTGATGACGTCACCGCATAGGCCATGTTCCTACACATTTTGTCATAAACTGACATCTATAAGGGTTCGGGTTCCCAATCACCTGATTGCTGTGATTGCCTAAGATTGGCTATCACAGTGATCAATCACTGTATACCTGGCCTATGCGGTTTCTTTTTTTTTTTAAAATAAAAACTAAAGAAAAAAAAAGCTTGACCAAGATTTGATATAGGTTAGTGCCAGGGTAAGTGTTAGGTGACGGTCAAAGTTCATAGTTAAAGATTGGGGGGTCAAAGGTCAGGGTCAATATATTTTGGGTAGGATTTTTTTTAAAAAATTATTTTTTAAATTAGTATCAGTGTCAGTTAGTGGTACAATCCACCTGGATACACAAAATAAGTGTGATGATATGTACAGTTTTACAGTGTCAAAGTTGCAAAATTGTGTTCAGGCATTAACATTTGTTTAACCTTCACTCACTAAAGAGATAAAATTGTCATACCTAAACTTCATCTTTAACATGTTAATAATTTTCTATATTTTTAAATCTTCATATTTTATTAAAATAAGATCAGTTAAACCTGCCATAAAAGTCCTTGTTCAGGCTCTTTTTGTTAAGGGGTGACAACACGCTGTCTTGTCTTCAAATAACTCTCATGAATGGTCACCATATGCTCTGCTGGAGACTCAAAGCAGCGGCCTGGTTCGCGTTTTTCAGTGCTTTTTGCAGAAACGCACTACAGTCCATTTCACATGGTTTTCTAAGGGACACATTCAAATCTATGCGTTTTTCAGCCGCTGCAATTTTGTAAAGCGTCAGGCACTTTTTCATGTGCAAAATGGGTATGTTTTTGGTTCAATAGACTACAGAAATAGCATTTAGTGCAGTTTTTATGCCTTCTTGATGCATTTTGCATTTTTAATCTTCCCAACAACAAATTGTCCAAAAAAAGCATAAACAAAAAACACAAAATGCAAAACACATTAAAAAATTTTGAAAAATGTGTGTGAAAAAAGACATAAAAAGCACAACCAAAATGGAACAAGCACAAACTTCATAAGTGTGAACCAGGCCTAAATGTTGAGGCAAGGTCCATTGTTGTCACCATCAGGAAACCCACTCTGAGCCATGACATGGAGCTGCTGTTGGAGAGCATGTATGTAGACAGGAAGTGACAATTAGCAATCTGAATGCACATAAAAGGTTGAAAAAATGTGAAAACAGTATTTTCTAAATGAAAAAGACATGGCAACTGTTTAAGGCGGGCTATAGATGCATCAAATGTGTGTGTCAGAACCTGTCAGGTTTGGTTACTGCCGCTGGCTATAGGAGGTAGCAGTGACAATTGTGTTCCAACAGTGGGGAAACCTGCCTGCAAGATCACAATAGCACAGCAGGAGGGATTTCCCCATCATCACTGACTGTGTTGATGAGGGAATCGTGGCATTTTTCTTTCCTTCAACCTGTGGTTATGGCCAGACTAAGATCTATTTTTTCTAAAATATTTGGTGTAATATACACATTATATACTGTATACAGTATACACTAGCAGAAGGCAGCTTCTGAGCATTCAACCAGGTAAGTTCCCAGCAACGTGTGATGTTTATTGCTCATTGCATTCAAGTAAAATTCAGCAATGTTTCAGGCATCCTTGCCCTTTACCAAGCTAATCTCATATTACAATTAATGACAAGCATAATACTGGTAATGATGGAATCATAATACAAAGTATTCATTAGATGATGACAAAAGAGCAAAGTAGCAACAAGTCCAATTACTGATCCAAGGTCAGTGTTGCTCTGTCTCATCCCAGGGGAGATTTGTAAAAAAAATAAACAATATCTCAAAGAAATAAATGTACATCAAAATTGTGTTTTGAGACCTTGTGGTGACAAAGAATTTAATTAAAAAACAAAGTAAACTTTTCTGCATTACAGTGATAAATGTTATATTTACCTACTTTGTTGTGGCCCCTTACCTCCTCTTCTGGAGTCCCCGCTGGTGCTGTTTTCTCCCTTTTTGTGTGGGTGCACTCACAAGCCAGGCTGTGTGCATCTATAGGCACACACAGTACAGCTTGCACCCAGCTCCTTTGACTTACAGCAGCACGAGCCTATGACCTATAGCCTATGGCTCCTGCTGCTCTCAGAGTCTCCTGTGAGACCAGGAAGAAAGAGCAACTGCAACTGCAATAGCGCTGGAGCGTGAGAGGGCTCGGCTAAGTGTTGGGGGGGGGGGGGGCAGATATTGAAAAGTTTTTTTACCTTAATGAAGAGAATGCATTAAAGTGGTTGTAAACCCTCACATATACCCAGTGAAGTGACTGGCCTCATGTGAGATGAAACTAATCCTTCAACAAACATTGTTCCTGAATATCTATGGCCATCTTTCCCCTACATCCATTCAAAGTACAGAATTTACACATGATCTCCCAGCTCTGAAAAGCAGGAGGTGGAGAGCTGAAGTTACATCAGTGAGGAGAGCTCTGAGAGCTGATTTGAGGGAATAGACATACCCCCCTTCACAAAGCACACAGGAAAAGAGCCGAGGCTAACAATCTGCTGGAGGTCCCTGCCCTGTCACCATTTTGCCCTTGGTGTCAGGAAAACTGCTCATGCTGATAGCAGAGGAATGAAGCAGCAGACAGAAATGACACTTACTGCTCTTAATTGAGACAAATATACACTATAGAGGGATATACTTTGTTCATATTTCATGTCTGAGGTTTATAACCACTTTAAGGTAAAAAAAAAAAAAAAAAACATTTTGAGTTTAGAACCACTTTAAGAGGCAGAGTCCCATGCCCTGCTTCTACAAAATGTATATATACATGATCTGTTTGGTCTGAGGTTGCCATTGTGCTTCACATGATCACTTAAGACACCAACAATTTGATAGCTTGACAGTTCAGTTGAAAACATAATCAACTGTGATAGTTATTAATCAGTGAAACAGTTACATTGATGTCTTCAGTTAGGGATTGAGAATATGAACTACTTGTTGAAGTGTCATTGGCACCGAAAACAAATGCATCAGGAAGAAGTACAAAGGAAGAAGGATGGAAGAAAGGCTAGGAAAGGATGGAAAGGAGTGAAAGAAAAGGAGGGAGAGAAAGAGAAAGGGATGACAGAAATGTGAATGTGAGTGAGATGCAGAAATGAAAAGAGGGGTAAAGGAAAAGCATGCAGAGGCAAAAAAAAATGGGGGGGGGGGTAGAGAAAGGAGAGGAAAGAATATGGGAAGAGTGAAAGGATGGAATGATGCAAAACAGGAAAGATGTGGAGGAAAGCAGGAAGAGATGAGATATGAAGGAAGGACAGAATAAAGTGCAGGAAAAGAAGGAATAGTAAGAAAGAAATGTGAAAATAGAAGGAGGGATGAAGTATTATAGTATGGAATGTTGGTTCTTACCTTTCTCTACTCTATACAAAACTAAAAAATAAGTTGGATTTTGGAAAAGAAACAAAGCAGGGTGGGAAGATTGGGTTTCATCTCAAGGGTCAATAGCCAGCATAGCTAGAGCTAAATTAGGCATCTAATGGCCACTTAGTAGTTAGAGGTCCGTTTGCATGTCAGATTAGAATCTACTAATCTCTAAATCTTCACAATACGCCCATTCCTAACCAATGACACCACAAAGCTCTTAATTCACTCCCAGGTCATCTCTCTCCTCAACTACTGCAACTCCCTCCTCATTGGTTTACCTTTACATAGACTATCCCCCCTCCATTCCACCATGAATGCCGCTGCCAGGCTCATCCACCTTACCAACAGTTCAGTGTCCGCCACCCCCCCTCACCCAAACAATTCAAAATACTAACAACAACTTGCAAAGCCATCCACAACCATCCCCCATCACTAACCTAGTCTCAAAATACCATCCAAATCACTCTCTTCATTCCTCCAAAGACCTCCTGCTCTCTAGTTTCCTTATCACCTCTTCCTATGCTCGCCTCTAGGACTTCTTCTGAGCCTCTCCCATCCTATGGAGTTCCCTACCCCAATCTGTCTATCTCCTTCTCAGTCCACTTTTAGTTGATCCCTGAAAACTTTTCAGAAAAGCCTGTCTTGCCTCCACCTAACAACTGTACATATATTTTCTCCATCAGCTCATCCCCCCTAGTTATTAAGTTATTTGTATCACTTGACCCTCCTCTTTTAGATTGTAAGTTCTAATGAGCAGGGCCCTCTGTTTCCTCCTGTATTAAATTGTATTGTAACTGTAATGTTGTAAAGCGCTCCGCAAACTGTTGACGCTATATAAATCCTGTATAATAATAATACTAAGACTAGAGATTAAGACGCATAGCAGATAGGCTGACTCTGGGTTTCAGTATCACACAACAATTTCTGCTGGTGAAAAGCTGCATTCCAGGCTGGTTGGACAATGGCTGGAGGATCTCCTCATCATTGCTGATCTTGTCTTCAGGTCTCTGACACAAGGACAGATGCAGCATCACAATCATCCTCAGGGGCCCCTGCCACTGAACTTTGCTGAAAGTTTCATATAGAGGTATCTTTATTGCAGACATAATGCCATAGGGTGGCACGGGTGTGCAAAATCATGTATATATATATGTGATTTTGCATTTTCGGGTAGGGGGCACATGCGAGCCATGCACGCCCCCTACCTGCATTTTTTCCTATTTCCCTACAGGTAAAGCACAATATAGTATTTGAGGAATATAGTATTTGA